CTCAATTCCAATGTCACTTCATTCAAAAGCCTTCTCAGATGCCCCTCCACACACAAAACAGATGAGATCCCTGGTTTGCAATTATAGTCATCCCTCAGTATCCATTGGGGTTGGTTCCAGGACAGCCTTGGGTACCAAAATCTTAGGATGCACCTTATATAAAATGATGAAGTACTTGCATATAACCTATGTACATCCTCCTGTATACTTTATATCATCTCTGGATTGCTTATAATACCCAGTACAGTGTAAATAGTATCTGACATGTGCTGAATTCCCGTTTTGCTTTTTGAAATGTTCTGGAATTTTTCCAATTTTTTCAAATCCAAGATTGGTTTAATCTGTGAGTGCAGAACCCTCAGATAGAGAGGGCAGACTGTAGTGATTTAATGTCTCTTTCTTCTATTATAATGAAAGGGTCCTGTGTTCAAAGATCATGCTTGTCTTAATCACATTTTAAAAAGTCCCCTGCACCAATATCCTGCCTGTTACATAGTGGGGCCTTTGTAGATATTTTTTGAATGAAGTATGCAGACAGTTTCTCACACCATATTGTTCAATCCTTCCTACAGTTTTGCAACCCCATTTTATAGCTGAGTAAACTGAGTCTCAGAGATCACAAAGCAGGGAAGTGGCAGACCAAGGATTTGAAGTTAAGTCTGTTTTAACACCAAAGCCCTCACTCATCCTATCACAGCAGGAATGAGGTGAGGTTATTTGTTTCAAACAACTTGATTTAGAATAGGCCAGAGTCAGAACACTTGTTTCACTTGTTCCAGCCTACTGAGATCAATTTAATCCACTTAATATTTATGGGATGCCACAAACTCAATTCACTATGTTAAATAGGAGGGCAAGAAGGGACAAACTGGGCTTCAGGGAAATGCCTGTAGCAAGCTGAACGCGGCAGGCCTCAGGAGAAGAAGCTGGGTGCTTCCCAGAGGATCAGCCTGGCCAGAGGCCCAGGTCATTGAGTTATTGGGAGGGGTTTGGGGGTCGCAAGGACCTGCTTTCCCTGACGCTTGCTGAGATGGGTAGAACAGTTAGCTGGCTGCTTCATGGAAAGGACTTGGCTTTGGGGTCACCCTCTGCTTCTTTACAACTGAGTAACATTGGGCAACTATTTGCACTCTCCAAAACCCCATGTTTACATGTGTAAAATGAAGATAATGATTGCAGGGCTGTGGTGGAGAGTTTATGAGAAAATGCATGGAAAGCACTGAGTTTATTGCCTGGCATATGGTATTCACTAATATTTGTGACCTTCCTTTACCAGTGACCACTGGGCAAGCAGCCTGTCTGCTTCCACCAATAGATCTACCTTGGAAGGGGATCACAGAGAAACATTTCTCTGTGGGGAAGTCAGAAACTTAGTGACCAAGAATATTGGAAACAGTGACGCAAAGAGATTCCCACTTTCAATTTTTTTCCTTTTTTTACTGTTAAAGTGAAATTTGTATAGCATACCACTTTAAAGTATAAAATTCAGTGGAATTTAGTACATTCATCATGTCTTGCAACTACCACTTCTATGAAGTTCTGAAGCATTTTCATCACTTCTAAGGGGAACCTGTACCTGGTAAGCAGTTACTTCCCCATTCCCTTCCTCCTTCACCCCCAGAAAACCATCAGTTTGTATCCATCTCTGTGAATTAGCCTATTTTGAATATTTCACATAAATATAATCATATGATATGTGACCTTTTGTGTCTGGCTTCTTTCACTCAGCGTGTTTTTGGGGTTCATCCATGTTGTAGCATGCATCAAAATTTTATTTTTTTTTATGACTAACCAATGTGTCACTGTATATACAGAGTTTTCACATTTTTTTCTTTACTCATCCATTGGGTTTCTGCCTTTTGGCTCTTGTGAATAATGCTGCTGTGAATGTTCCTGAATGAGTGTTTGTTTGAGTATCGATTTTCAGTTCTTTTTTGGTATAGATACTTAGGAGTGGAATTGCTGAATCATGTGGTAATTTTATATTTAATTTTTTTGAGAAACCACCAAACTGTTTTCCAAAGCATTTTACATTCCTACCAGCAATGCATAAGAGTTTCAATTTCTCCAGAGCCTCTCCAATACTTATTTTCTGTTTTTTTTGAATATGGATACCCTAGTGGATGTGAAGTGGGGTCTCCCTGTGATTTCCATTGGCATTCCCCCCACACCCCCCACCCCACATCTTTATTTATAAACACAGGGGAGTCATTTGGTCTTCCTGGCTTCTTTGACTCCTCAGATCTTCCCTGATGGCTAAGAAGTCAGAGGCTTCCACTGGGAGAGAGGTCTGCTGGTACACTTCTAGTTGGATTTTAAATCAGTGCAAACTCTGTGGAAGGCCATTTGGCAACGTTCCTCATTGAAATTACAGATGCACACCCTCTGTGACCCAGCAGTTCCAAGGCTAGGAATCTGTCTTATGTATATACTCCCATGTGAACAAAATGATGTATGTATAGTGTTATTCACTGCAACAGTATTTATAATATTTTAATAGCAACAGATGGGAAACAAACTGAATGCCCCCCCACCCCAGGGAACCGGTTAAGCAAATTTTGACACAGCCAGACAATGGGATACTGTACAGCTGTAAAAAAGAGAGGGAGGCCCTTCTTCATTGCTGATACAGAAGGAATTCCAAGACATGGTCAAGGTAAAACGAATCAGGATGTAGAACAGTATATACATAGGCTGTCCATGTAAAAATGAGGAAAAAGAATATGTATGTGTGTATATATTAGTGTATTTTTTTGAATATTGAAGTAACACTTCAGGGAGAGGAAATTGGTGACAGGACAAAGGTGGGAAGGACCACGTTTGCTGTCTACTTTCTTGCGTCAGACCCTGTAAATGTATTTCCTGTTCAAAAAATTAAGTAATTAAATCCAAATGAAGACCATTCATAAGTATTTGAAGGTATCATTAATTTGGCCCTGATTTTCTGGTCATTTAGGTAGGATAGGGACTCTAATGTAGATTTTCCATGCAGAGTAATGCCAGGGATGGAGTTGCAGGAGAAATAATTCAAGCTCTCATCCTTGCTTTTCCCAGTGCAGTCCTGGCTGGAGCCTCAGCTTTGCTGACTTGACCACAATTTGAACTTGAGTCAGCCTGCTGGAGGCCAACCCAAGTAACCCCCCACAGTCCCTCCTCCCTCTGGGTTCCAGGAGGCCTACCCTCAGCGGGGCTCAGGCTGAAACTGATGGGACCGAGTGAGCAGAGAAGCAGACGTGGCCCTGGGCTCAGGATGGACACTGGGTTCAAGGTAAATCTCTACACCTAAGCTCAGTGCCACTTCCCTATCGTGCAGCAGACAGACCATCCAGGAACAAGCTCTGCCACTTTCTTGCTAAGTGACTTTGGGCAAATCACCACATGTTTCTGAGCCTCTGTTTTCTCCTCTCTAAATGGGGCTAATAATTGCAAGGTTGTTGTGTGTAGAAGATGAAAGCTGTCAAAAGGGCTTTCCTATATATAAGCCTGAGAAAATGCTGCAAGTACGTGCGCGCGCTCATGTGCATGCGCACGTGCATGTGAACGCTCAGTCATGTCCAACTCTTTGCAACCCTGTGGAATATAGCCTACCAGTCCCCTCTGTCCTTGGGATTTTCCAGGCAAGAATACTGGAGTGGGTTTCAATTTCCTATTCCAGGGGATCTTCCCAACTCAGAAATTGAACCTGAGTTGTATTGCCTGCACTGGCATGTAGATTCTTTACCACTGTGTCACCTGGGAAGCCTAAGAAGCCCAAGAATGTGAAGGGTCATCTTTTTTTAAAGAATAATTTTATATGTTTATTTACTTATTGCTGTGCTGTGTTGCTGCACAGGCTCTCTCTAGTTGTGGCAAGCAGGGGCTACTCTCTAGTTGCGGTGTGGCAGGCTTCTCATTGCGTGGCTCCTCTTGTTGAGAGCGTGGGCTCTAGGGCACGCCAGCTTCAATACTTGCTGCACATGGGCTCAGTAGTTATGGCTCCTGGGCTCCAGAGCACAGACTCAGCAGTTGTGGCACATGGGCTGCGAAGAGTCATTTTGAAGGTCACCCTGAAGAGTCCACATCGGCTAAACATCTCCTACGTGCCCAGATTCTTGAGAGCTGAAGAGATGACAAATGGGAGTGACACCTTCTCTAGCCTTTAAAGGTGTTCAGGGCTTACGGGGTGGTGAGAGAGCTGGACATGAAGACAATTTACTACGACAGTGCTGAATGTGTAGACCAGAAGAGAATGTACTGTGTGAGAGGGCAGAGAGGAGGAGGGCATTAACTCTAGCTGGGACCTCAGCAAAGGTTTCAGAGACCAGACTGCAGCAGGGTTGATTCTGGAAAGGAAAGGAGGAGGTTGCTAGGCCCACAGGGAAGATCCCACGTGGAGGAAACCTTCAGTGGAAAGGTGAGAGGGGAGAAAGAATAGAGTGTCTTTGGGCAACTCCAAGCAACTGTCTTCTTCAGACTTAGGGAAAGGGTATGGAAGCTGAAGCTGAAAAGGGATGGGCAGGACACATATTGGAGGCCTTTTTATGGTCACAGCCAGGTAATACAGTAAGAAATAAAAGAGAAACAGAGAAACATGGAGCAGCAGGAGATTGTTTTAAAGGTCGCCTCACCCAGACATAAGACATAGAAAACCCTGAACCTTTTCGCTCCAGGCACCAGATGAATCCAGCTCCCAGTCACAAAGTCCCCCAGTCAGGCTTTGTGTCTTCCTGGTTAAGGTCCAAGACATCATGGAGATCCAGAGACAAGCCATCCTCGCCACGCAGTCCCCTGCCCACAGCATCTGTGAGCAAAGAAGTTGTTACATCCCACAATGAAGTTGTTACATCCCACTCAGCATTTGGCAATCCCTCTCTCAGAGCTCTTTCCAGATTTTTGTTTCTGTGCCCATTTCTTAGCAAGTCTGTGGTTCCTTAAGGATGGAGGCCGTGTGTGACTCTTCTTTATAGAATGGATCTAGCTGTGTGTCCAGCTCATAGGATGAGCTCAGTCAGTGCTTGTTGATGGATGAATTGAAGCCTGGGAGGCAGGAGTGGGGCATGCTCTCTATCAAAGATGGGAGAGAAGGTTTTCTGAAAAGAGTGGTAAGTCAAGAGATGTGAGTGGTACCCTGTGCTTCCTTTCCTCCTGTTTTTTATTCATTTTCTCCCTCTTGCATTGCTCCTGTTAAACTCATTGGTTTTGGTGCATCCTTAGTTTTCTAGAAATACCTACCATGCTGGATTTTGTGCATTTGGGGCATGGCTACCCACATAATACCCCTGTACCAGAACAGTTACTTGGGCTATTGTGGTTGATACTAATAAATCAAAGATCTCTAATGAGGGTTTCTATTTTACATTTCTTCTTTGCATATATTAGGAAATATTATATAATTCAGTGTTTCGACACAAAGTTGTTTTCTATGGTTCACAGACTAATTTTTTTTCTTTCTGTTTGGAATTAGAAACTGATGATGCTGTCACTTTTTCCCCGAGGAAAATATTTATGGATTTAGCGATTTACTTTGAGGGTAATTCTCCAATGGTTCTGCCTAAATGTTTCTCCTTTAAATTCATCCTGAGGCCAAACTTTAATGTTTGAAATGATTAGTTCACACTGCAACTAATTTAGAATTTGAGTAAACAGAGACAGTTTGTGTGTATATCCTCATAAGAAAGATTTGAAATAACCCTTTATCTCCAAAGCTTCAGAATTTTACTTAAAAATGTGCAGAATTTCATCAAAGTTGTCACTATTTTACAAACCAAGGGCTTAAGAAATCAAAGCTTTCTTGAAGCATCAGGGCCTACCAACTATTTTGGGGGTTTCCCTGGTGGCTTAGATAGTAAAGAATCTGCCTGCAGTGCGGGAGACATGGGTTTGATCTTTGGGTCTGGAAGATCCCCTGGAGAAGAGCATGGCAATCCATTCCAGTGTTCTTGCCTGGACAGAGGAGCCTGGTGAGCTATAGTCCATCAAGTCACGAAGAGTTGGACATGACTGAACAGCTAATACTTTCACTGTACCAACTATTTTTGAAGATTTGATGCTTATGATGCATGAATAGGTATTAATAATAATAATATGTTGTTGTTGTGCAATAATAACATGTTGCTAAGTTGTGGTTCGACTCTTCTGCCACCTATGGTCTGTAGCCCACCTGGCTCCTCTGTCCATGGGATTTCCCAGGCAAGAATACTGGAGTGGGTTGCCTTTCCCTCCTCCAGGGGATCTTCCCAACCCAGGAATCAAACCCATGTGTCCTGCATTGTCAGTCAGGTTCTTTACCGCTGAGCTGCCAGGAAAGTCCAAATAGGTAATATAGACTCATTAAAATTTCAGTTTTTAGTCCATTGATCTCATTTGCTTGTTAAAATCTGTTTATAGGAAATCCAGTTCAACCAAGTATCTGCATAAGGTAACATGGACAAAGACTTTGTAAACTGGTGAAAACTACGCCACTTTTAGGTATTATCGTCTGCATATAGTTGTAAATATAAAACTGTATTTTTTAAAGGTGTAGACAATTACCTACCATTTCTGGTATTTGCCTGCTGTTTCTGTTACAAATAAATCTTTATTATTTTCCGTATTAAGATAAACAAAACCAGAGAAAGTATTTTTACTTTTCACACTTTTTTATATCCTCTGGAGAATCTAGTCTTGCTTCCCAGCTGCCTGCATTTTCAAGTCAAGTAACAACCTTGCAATTCAAGTGTGAAGAATCCCCCCACTGAAGATAAGAAGTGACTTAGACATAAAACCCAGCATTTATCCCTGTCTCCCCATAATGTGCTTCCCAGTCATCTGCCTTCCAGCAAAGTTAGTTTGAAAGCTCTGGATTTTTTAAAATAATGAAGTATAGTTGATTTCAATATTATGTTAATTTCAAGTGTACAGCAAAGTGATTTCGACATATATGTGTGTATATCTATATATTTTTTTTAAAATTATGTTCCATTATAGTTTATTACAAGATGTTGAATATAGTTTCCTATGATATACAGTAATCCTTGTTTATTTTATATGTGGTAGCATGCACTGGTTAGTCCCATACTCATAATTTATCCCTTCTTTCCTTTCCTTTTGGTAATGGTAAGCTTGTTTTCTGTGTCTGTTGAGTTTGTTGCTGGTTTGTAAATAAGTTCATTTATATTGTTTTATTGTTTTTTAGATTCCACATATGAGTGATATCACATGATATTTGTCTTTTTATTTCTGATTTATTTCACTTAATATGATGATCTCCAGCTCCATCCATGTTGTTGCAAACAGCATTATTTCATTGTTTTTTTATGACGGAGTAATATTCCATTGTTTATATATGTCTCATCTTCTTTATCCATTCATCTGTTGCCGGACACTTAGGTTGTTGCCATGTCTTGACTATTGTGAGTCGTGCTGCTGTGAACACTGGGATGCGTGTGTATTTTCTAGCTGAAGGCCCTGGATTTTTGAGCATTATTCAGACTGCTGTTCTGTGTGTGTGGTCTCAGTAGGCCCTCAGAAAATCCAAAGACGCGTCCGCTATCAGGGGATTAATTTCTCATCTTAAAATTACTCTTCAGAGACAAGATTTAAACATTCACCCTAATGACCCTAGAATTCCCTTCCCAGAGTACTTGGTGGTTTACACAGAGGGCTATATTCTCCCTGTGGCAGCCACTAGGGATCTTTAAAAATCTCAGTCATATCCAGTAAGCTGCCTTCTCAATGTACTTCCCCATGAGAACGCCTCAGCATGGCTTCCAGCCCTTCAGACCTGCCCTGGTTCCTTCGAATCCCCAGGCGGTATCTCTCCCTTTTACTCTCTGCTCCAACTCTACTCTCCGGACAGACATCAGGCACACCCAACCCACTGTCCCCTCCAGGGACCTTGAGGTTTAGGTTTCTCTGTCTAGTAGACTTCATTCTTGTTCTTATCACATCATCTTCATGCTCTTCGTGAACTTTTATGTTTGGTAATTATTTCTCTTGATTCCCATTTTCATTCCCACCAGCCTATAAGCTCCTTGGCAGCAAGCGTTACAGGTCCTCTCACTGCCATCCATCTGGGCCTGGCAGGATGCTATGCTCAGAGATTGCCAGTTGTCCACCAAAGTTTGTTCTCCTCCCTGAAGTAATAGGATTTAAGCCGCACCTTGCCAGGCACCAGCTATACTGCATTCCCAGCTTCTTTTGTGACTTGGGAGGCCCGATGCCCAAGTTGTCACCTGTGGAGTGAGATAAGAAGTGATGTGTCTAACTTCTGCCTCATTCGTCTGGAAGCCAAGCCCTAGACTGGTGCTCACCTACCTGAGGGCAGGCACATGGCACTGCCATGACCAGTTTGACTGTGTAGACAGGGCAACACTCTGGATGGCGGCAGTGCAGCTGAATGGAAAGACATGGACTTAAAGTCCCTGACCACATATGGCAGAGTTTCTCTCAACCTGGACCATCTGCCTTCTAGTGTTACATAAATAACAGAGTAAGCTTGTGCTTCTTTAGGCTTCTATATTTGGTGATCTCTTTGCTATTTGACTTAACTTTCAACCTGACCACACGGTGTTAAATAAGTAGTTGTTGGATGAGTTGAGTGACTCATTTGGAGCTCTCTATTTTATTCTGTTCCACCATCCCAGCAGCAGGAGCACCTGTCAGGTCGTGGAGAAACGCACACAGGAACTATCTCATGCTGATTGGGAATCCCCTTCTTTTCCCATCTCAAAGCTCCCTTGTGGCTTCCTCTCACTACACCGTTGACAGTTTTTGCTGTTCATCCTGAAGAAACCAAACTTGAAAGAATGTCACAAAGCATGGAAGTAATGCTTTTTGTGTGAAGATTCTAGGTCACTTTGTTATAAAAGTTTTTGTGTGGGACAAAAATGTCATCTCACAGCTTATGGGAACCCGTGACCCACATCATAGCAGAGGGTTCTGCCCCTTTGATAGTGTTATACTCATTTCCATGGTTAATGTCTGTGACATTTCCTGCTTGAAATTTTGCTGTTAGACAAGTTTTTGTGAAACTCTTGTTCAGATGACAGTAGGTGATTTTGTTTGGTTATTGGTCTGGGGAGCAATGTTAGTTGGGAGTCATGATTTCCCTGAAGTATTGTCAGGTATGGCTTTAGTTATGGAGAAAAATAGTTTTCCCTTTCTCAATAAACTTCTATACTTAGGTCCAGTGTATTTTTAAGCTCTACTATATTTGAAGAAAGACATTTAGTAGTCATGCAGTTAATCTCTTGCCTTTCCCAGAGGTAGCATTGAAGACAGTATCAGAACTTAGGCTGGTTTTAGGGCTGTGCCTGCAGCAAACACACTCTGAGATGGGGATTTATTGGAGAAATTGATTGGAGAATGTTCTGGAAATGATACGTGGGAGGAGTAAGGGAAGAAGAATGGGGCAGAAAGAGGAGTTGAGTTGCCACAAAGCTGGGATCTAGAGCTTTGGGAGAAGGAAATGGCAGAGTTGTCCCATTCCACCAGTCAAGAGATGCAGCTGGAAGGGAATGTAACTTCCGGTGAGGTAGCTCCAAGGGCATGCCTATGGAGGGTCTTGGATGTGAATTATCAAGAAAGCCCAAACTTCTGGCTGTTAGGGGAATGAGTGTCAGGGTCCTGAGGTGGGGTCTAGGCAGCACTGCCTGGCATCCACTACAGGGCTTCAACATCTAATTAGTACCCAGACAATCTCACGAGGGCACTGCCTTGCCTCTCTTGTCCTCTTCTGTGTCTCCTACCCTTAGAACAATGCCTAGTGCCTAGCATATAGCAGCCACTTCATAGATATTTGCTGAATAAATAGGTGAAAGAAGTAACAAACAGAATTATGCAAAGGATATACAAATTAGGGTACTTTCAGTAAACTTTGTCAAAATTGAGAAACCTTACTTGGCTTTAAACTTCCTAAGCAGAGACTGAAATCTTTACAGATATATTAAAACTAAATGCACATCATCAGCCTTATCACTTCTTGCATTAGGACAGATTATGGGAAAGTGTTCTGCGCCCACTTGAGTAGTCAGGAAAGTGGCCGATGAGTTTCTTTCTAGGCAAGAATAGGTCAATGTATTCAGGGAAAACTACTCTTAAAATCAGGATATATGATGTGATG